ATGAGGTTAGGTGTTTCTTTATTGTAATAGTTAATATAGTATTCTTCATAAAGATCCATTTTTTTTATTTTTTTTAAGTTGTTTAAGTAGTTTTATTTCGGAAATGTTAGAATTGTAACTAGTTTCTTTTAAATGTTTATTGAATGATGTAGAAGTTTTGGTTAAGTGTTCTTTGAATGTAGTCTCTATACTACGCCCCGTTTGGCCAATATAAAATTTATCACAGCTCCCACACTTCAGTCTATAAATGCCAGAGAATTTGTGCCTATTATTAGTTAAAATTTGTCCCTGTTTACAACCGGTGGTAAATACCGGGGACCGGGGTAACATTCAGATTCCTTAATTTATCAGCGAGAGACTCCTGTAGGTGAGGTTGATAGGGTAAAGAAATGTAATAAGGTTGTTTGGAAACTTTGGAATAGATAAGATTGTTAATGTGGTTTTGATGAATACGGTAAAAGAGACCCTGCATCTCCTTAACTGAATAGCTGTTACTGAGGCTCACCTCTATAATTGTCCGATTTCATATATCGAAGGCTACTCTACTCTCCGTAGGCACTCTAGTAATTTTTAAATCAAGAAAATTAATGCTCATATTGTTTTCCATTTCGTTAGTAAATTCTAAATTGTTAATGTTATTGATGATATTATTAAGGGCAACAAGTTGAGCTTTTTTTCCCGTCAAAAACCAAAAGGATATCATCGACATATCTTTTGTAAAATGTGTTGTGTTTAGTTATAAAGTAGTATTTTTCGGAGAACAGAGTAGCCTCGAAATTGTTAACGAAAATATCGGCAATAATCCCTGAAATTGGTGATCCCATAAGCAATCCGTCGTTCATACCATAGAATTTATTATCAAAGGTAAAGAAGTTCTGTTCACAGAAATCAAATATAAAATGTCGTGATATTGGGAAAATTTTGTATATTATTACAGAGGTGGGTCTCAATGATACTCAAGGGATCTTTAATAGGTACATTAGAATAAAGATTATTAATGTCGAAGGAGATAAGTATGAAATTATTATTAATTTGAACATTTTTAAGGTTTTCTATTAGATCAAGTAAATTTTTAACATTGTGTTTGAATTGTTTACTGAAGGTATCATAAAGAAATTTTTGTATTTGTTTAAAAATTTTCTCTGGAGGAGTGTTAATGTTGCTAATAATTGGTCTTATGCTGTGATCAACTTTATGAAGTTTAATCAAACTCTTTAAGGTTAGAGCAAGGGGATTCATTTGATTACTAAATTTAACATCAATATCAAACCTCAGAAGAATCCTTCTGCAGTTGTTTAAGACTTTTTTAGCTGATTGTTATAAGTAATTTTTGGATTTATATTAATGTTAACAATACCATTCTGTTGGAAAAATAACAGTGTCTTTTCTATACACAAAGCTTTATTGAGAACAACAAGTCGCATTCTTATCACTATTAAATTGTTGTTTTCTATTTTCTTTTTTAAGTTGTGAATGGCTTTAAGTTTAGGAACGTTATTGTTCATGTTATGTTTCTGGGGCTTGTTGTCCTCAAAGATGTCTTTATAGCTATTGATCATGAAATTGTTAAAGAATGGTTCTCGATACAATTGAGATTCTAAAGCTATAGCTTTGAATTTCTAAATCCGAAAAATTAAAATCACTTAGATTGGTAAATCTGGGTGCAAATTTAAATGTATCGTATTTGAAATATAGTTTTCGATTTTATGATTTTTTCCACATGATGTACATTTTTTACTAGTTCTTTATGATCATCCCTTGTTAACTTGACGGTAAGAAAAACTTTTAACACCAATAAAATTTATTATAGTTGTACCTGAGGACGCTTTAGTAGAGCGAAACAATTGTAGTACATATTCACTAATAAAAAATATCATTGTGGAATTTCCTTTTTTGACAATTTTCCCAAGATTTTCATTCCTAAATATAATCACACAATGAACCTGGAGTCTCACATCGCTATAACTGAATAAACTGTTGAAGATAGCTGTGTAAACTGTATTTGTGTTATTTTATGTTAACCTTTATAGTGTATAACCTTTATTTTAGAGTAGGATTAGCTATCGCTGTTTCAAACCTTAAACCCTCATAAGTAAGTCCATAGATAGGTGGTAAGGCAGAAAATATTTTTTGTTCGGATGATATTACGTTTCTCAATGTAGTATTTTGTTTTTGGATACGTGGTGTTACCATAACCAATAATTCACCAAATGCAGTGAGGTCCATTCGTAAAAAAAATTCATAATCTATTTTGCACATTACTTAAGTTCTTTGCGGAAAATTGCGTGGTTAAAAGAGATCTTTTCTGAAACCACTCTTTCATACATACTCTCTGCTTCCTTTTCAGCAATTATTATGGCTAAACATATTAATATATTCGTTTCAATTAAGTTCCTCTCCGTTGATATAAGAATGGATCAAGTTTTTTGATCCCGGTCGTACGACTCTTTAAGGTTTGTATAATAACATATTTGATTTAGTTGATCAATTTCTTATTCCACAAGAATCAATATGTATTGATAAACCAACTACCTTGGACTACCTTACCTTTAAACAATGTATACACAATAAAAGCCATCAGTATAGTGTCAAAATATGTACTAAAAATATCTGCATCCTTGAACATAAAACAATTGGCAATAAGCAAGCAATTCTAAGGGCATCTGTGTCTAAAAGAAGATACATATTTTGTGGATTAGATGCCGAGATTATTGTTTCATAACGAGTTGCTACTTGATGTGTTGCTACAAGTTGCTAAGTAATGATCCGAAATATCGTGGAGGTGGTAGCTTTGTGTGATCATTTTTGCCCGTAAAAATGCAAGCAAGCTAACATGTAGGGCAAATGTCTTGAAGACTTCCACTCATTACCGCCAACTAGTGATAACGATTTCGCTATAGAAGAACATCATTTAATTTTATAACCCGATCTGATAGATTTGATTCGCGATATAGTTCTATCAAAATAAAAAGAACTTTTTCATCAAAATGCGTAGTTGGTATTATGACAATAGTCTAGGGCACTGTTTCCCAAAGTGTGGGTAGCAGTCCGATATTAGCTGGAAAATGAAACTGTTAGGAACTAATTTTACTACCAACCTTCTAATAAATACTAGTTCTAATAAAAAAATTGGTTGGTAATAACAGCCGGTTAATCCCCTCTATTCAAATTACTCACAATCTACACTAAAAAGAACTAACTGCCTAGCAGTTTTAATGTTTCATTCTCTGATTTGAGTTTAGTTAAGTACTAAACTAAAGATTTTTAAATTCATTTTGCGTTTATTGCGTGATACCTTTGTGCTTAGTTGTTGTGTTCGGCAATTCGTGAAGTGCTTCCTAGAATAAGACCTTATTGTCTCTAACTTCCATAACTGTGTTAAATTATAATAATGGACAAGTGGTTAAAGGGGCCAACAAATAGTGCACAAACGATGAAAAAGACGATACTGAGCCTGACGAGGCTTCCTCTACGAATTCACATGAACCAAAACGTCGAAAAATTGTGAGAAAATATGATCTCGAGTACAATGGATCCTCGTCATCAATGCGTTATTTGCTGCGAAATATTGGCGAATGAAAGCATGCGTCCGAGTAAGTTATCACGTCATATGGAAACGAAGCACTCCCATTTAAAAAATAAGCCGGTGGCTACTTATGCCTCATACCATTGGCGAGAATTTAGTATTGCCATCGATTAAAGATGCTGTTGGAGTGATGTTTGGAGAAAAAGAACTAAAGGAAATCCAACGTATACCACTTTTCAACAATTCCGTTGCACGAAGAATTGACGAGATGTTCCAATGGACAGAGGATGAATTAATTCGTAGAGTAGTCAGTAGTAAGTATTTTACGCTACAACTGGATGAGTCTACCGATGTGCAAGGCCTATCTCAGTTACTTGTTTTCGTGCGTTATATATGACAAAATGCCGAGCATGAAGACATCTTGATTTTGCAAACCAATTAGTCGTGGAACGGCCGATGAAATTTTCAAAGAAATTGATTCTTATTTAAAGAGAATAGGCTTGGATTGGAAGAACTGTGTTGGCGTGTGTACTGACGAAGCTCGAGCTATGTGTGGCAAAAATAGCAATGTGAAGAAGCAGACAATAGCAGTGAGAAATCCCAATGCTTCGTGGACTCACTGTAGCCTGCATAGAGAAGCACTGGTTGCAAAATCATTGCCTGATTATATAAAAGATTAGTGCATTGCAAGATTAGTGGAATTACGGAATAAAGTCGCAGTTTACTTGGTAAGAAAAAATCAATATCTTGAATCTTTCCTGAACAAAGAATTTATTCTCGAGCTAACATACTTGGCGGATATTTTCTCAAAGTTAAACGAACTTAATTTGTATCAGCAAGGATCAGAGGGATCCGACATTTTTACAATTTACGATAAAATTCGAGCGTTCATAAAAAAGCTTGTCTTGTGGAAGAGATGCATCGAAAAAAGTAAATATGATTGTTTTGAAAAGTTTCAATCATTTATCATAGAGAGCGAAATATAGCCTGATATCAATGTAGTGGCTGCCATTTCCACCCATTTAATGGAGTTGAAAAATAACTTTGACTTCTATTTTGGGGAAGAGATGAAGAAGTTCGATACAATGAGCTGGATTTGTAATCCATTTCAAGACAACTTGCCAACTGGATTATCACTAAAAGCAAGTGAAGAACTTATTGACTTATCAGAAATTAATCCAGGGTCATTCCCATTGCTCATGCAATATAAACATAATCTACGACGGAATTCTTATGATCTAGACTAATACAAAATACAATGAACATCAATTCAAATGACAATTAATATTAATTAAATCTCTTACTGTTAATTAAGTGTCATGACTGGGATGCCAACTGGATTGATTGAAAATTCAGATTTAGCTCCCCAAATTGCCTTAAAAACAACATTTGCTTGCTTAGATCCAAATTCGCATATACTTTTGTATTTTTATTACTGTTAAAATGGTTAATTCAAAAAATAGTGAGTACCGTCAAATCACAATGTCAAATGCTATAGCGTGTCAATATTAACGCCTTTATTTTTTATTTTAAAAGCATTAACCTAACTACATTAAATTATTAAAATTTACTAATTTTACTAATTACAGTAAAAGTAAATGCTGATTTGTGGTAACACGCTAACTTTAATGTGTATCAATAAATTATGCCAAGTGGTAAGTTAAATGTACATTAAAACAAAGCAGATTTTGTATAGCCCTACTTTTAAATGTACACATTTTTGAAAAATTGCGATGTTAATGGAGTTCGCAATGCAGTATCTGTGTAAACTTATAATATATTAATTTATAATTTGGCCCAACATTTATCATTAATTTTAAATGACATAATTTGATGTTAAATCATAATTGCAGGTCTTCTCTTTAATATCAGTTCTGATCATTTACATCACTTCAACGAAGATTTGTTACGAAGAAGAGCGCAGAGATGTAATTATCGTGGGTTGTTTAGGGTTTGGTACAATTTCTTTGGTTTTTCTAATCTCAAGATTAACAGAACCCCCAGTTGAAGGTATAGAGATATGTTTGCTTTTTATGGGATTTGTATTTAACGCTATTGGTGGATTCTTTGCACTGTTTGCTACTAGGAAGTCGGCTCTCTACAGAGAATCCGTAGAGCAAACTGGTAGACTTTGGATTCCTTTAAGTAAGGACGATGATTTGAGCAATAATAAATTGATTGGGACGTTTTGTATATTAACCGGAGTTTTTATGTTAATCGATGTTATTATTCAACTTGGTGCGGTTACTAATGAAAAATATATTGAAGAGGAAACGTAAAATTATAAAAAAATCGATAAAAATAAATTTTTGAAGTTCCATACGTCTACATAATTACAAAATGTTGGTATTAATAATGTAAACACAGTTAAGCGTTGTTGTAAAACACATAATATAATGTAATTGTTATCGAATAAAACGAACTCTTGATAAAGTTCACTCACCTTGGAAGCGATCATCCTACGCTGCTAATCTGCTTTAATACATAGCATGTAAAATAAACCAAGAAGGTTTCATCGAAGCAAGGAACCTTTTCAAAACGGATCCTTCGATTAAATCCAACATGTATGTTTTAATATGGAGCCTAACACTCTTTTTGCATAATAATTTTTTGTATCATATTATTGAATTTCAGATCACATCATATGAACTCGTTTACATGAATGTTCGACCGCGCTGGGTTAATATTCGAATTTTATTCCACCTTTTCTACGTCATTTTTACAGTGTATAAATGCGATTGTCTGCAAAAAAGAACGTTAAGGAAAGCCGTTTTATATATTTCTTTGATTTCTTTTATTATTTCTGTTATTCTTATTAAGAGTTTTAAATTTATTAATTTATTTCTATAAATAATCAAGAACCACACCTCAATTGTCCCGGACTTTTGCCGCGTACACATTAATAATCCTTCAAGTCGGATGTTTTCCGGAGTTGTTAATTCATAAACAAATTATAAAATATCTTTATTCCCCCTTTTTTTCCTTGCGTTTTTATGCCTTTTTATTACAATTTTCGATTTTTAACCCGCGTTTTTTGCTTTCTTCCACGTTGTTTCTGTCTCTTGTAGGACATCTGGAGAACCTGAAACTGGTTACGCTATTTTAGCATCGGATTTTTCATTTAACTCGATTTAGGTCCACTTTTACCACCTCTAGTTAAAGTGGTTGTTAACTTTAACTAATGGTTAGCGCAAAAATCGGCTTTTACCACCATATTTACCTTGTTGATAGCGCTAACTAATAGTTATTTTCGGTCTATACTTAACTATCGGTTTGGGGGTCGGGTTAAATATTTACCTCATTGATAAACTTGGTTCAAGGTATTTTTAACCAGATAGCGTAAGATAAATGTAACCTAAAGTCATAATAAACGCTTACGTTCGCTCAAAACTCCATAATAGTGATTAAAACGGTGTTATTGTCGTGTTATAACAGTGTTACACAGCGATAGAATAAAAATCATGGATTTCGAAAGGTTTGAAATTAATGACAAAGAAATCTTGGAGAAAATTAATTATCTATTTCCCATTCGGGGTGGACGCGTAATAAAAGACAGAATAGACCACGTCCGCCATCAAACTGATGAATGTGTGCTTTCACCACATTTTAGCACAAATTGATAATGACATCAAACCACGGACGAGAAGGTATTATATATTGTAATAATAACCGTTTACCAGTAGTTTAGTCTTGTTTGATTATCGTATTGATCGTAGAAGAGTTTTTTTTAAACAATTATAAAATAATGTTAGATACTATACGCTAGTGAATTTCGGTACATTTTATTGTTCTTTAATGTTCTAATCCTAAACTATCACTTGTAAAGTCGATGCGAAGTAATTTTAAAGATTCGATATCAGATAACCTCAATTTAAATTTTTCAAAATTATTTATTTAAATCTTTATCTACCCGGATCAAACCTATTTAGAACGATAAACTTAACTTGGTTAACAAAGAAAATAATTAATATTTGTATGGAATAATGAAATTTGGATGAAAATTTACAAAATTAATTTGAACATATTGGAAAATTTATCGTTGAGATCAGAAGAAAATGAATGGATATTTGAAAATTGATTTAAAAGAGCATCAAAATTACGAAATATCACGCATAATTATAAATAATTTTAAAAATTTAAATAATAATTTGACAAATTGAATTAGAGACATTTCAAATGTCAAAGTTGGCTACATTGAAAAAACTAAGACACAAATTCCAAATCCATAAATTTAACCAATCAGGAGAGGTTATTTGGAAATTTAACATCCGAAAAACGGAATTTATCAACAAAAAGAGTGTGCTTCCTGTTGTCTAAAGAAACACACACATTTTTTTTTGCTCTGCTGAAAATTAATTAAATCAACGTGTCAACGAGTTAAAAAAATTATATCCGTTCCTGTTCAACTCTGAAAAAACAATTCATCCTGTTCCTATTAAAGAAGAATATCCGTTCCTGTTCAATAATTTCGAAGAAACGATTAAATTCGCTCCTGATCAAGTAAAGCAATTGGTTCCGTTTCTGGTAGAAACCATCATCACTAGTGAAGAGAAAAATTGGTTCTCAATCCTGAATCCAACTGTTCCTGTCACGAAGAAAATATTATTCTGAGTTTGACCTCCAAGGTTCCCATAGAAACAAATTGGCTAAGTTATTTTTTTTTATAATTTATTGTTTTTGTTGATACATTTTTTAAAGAAAAAAACTCTTCTTACCTTCAATACGAGAAGTTCTTGATAAGTTCAATATAAATTTTGAGATTACGATTACAATTTCCTAATTAATTTAATATTTGACGAGTTGTTTAAGACCATAACATATCTGAGTTGATAAATATTACTTCGAATCAACTAATTTAGAATATTTGTTTATATAATCAGTATATTTTGTTAATTTTGTCGACAACATCTCAATTTGATTGCACCTTAAGTTGTGCACATGTTTGTCTTGACAGTATTACCAGAACCTGCCTTAACCCTGAGATAATTCGACAATTCTGTTTAAATATTTCAATTTTTTTCAATTTAATAAAAAAACAAATTATTATAAAATTTAGTAATGTTGTTTTCATTAAAATAATTCTTTTCAAAAGAAGAGGGACTATTTGCGGTCCATTTGGAAAAACATTACAATATGTATAGTACCTAGTTTTTATCAATAGAAGAATTATTGATAATTAATTTTTTTTATAAATTCTGCAATCCCTGTTTCATATAGATTGTTGCTTACTTTAAGATTTTTTTGCTATAGGCAACATGTTATTGGTTAGCTGACTTTTGTGGAATCAGCGAATCATTAGCTTCAGGTCAATAATAGAAGATTAGTAGTTATCAATTATTTTCGGAACTTATAAAAATAAACTTTATTATTATAAAAAAAAACGTTATTTACAACAAATATGTACATTATTATTCTCGCCAACATTAATATCGCCAACAAGTATTTAAAAAATAGATTAACTGTCTTTTTCTTTTCTTAATTTTTTTTATCTACACTTCTTTTTTCAATTTTATCACTTCCATCTCTTTCCTTCTCATTTTCTAACATTAATGATGTTAACTCTAATCTTTTCTTTAATAACTCATTATAGGTATCGTGGACAGCTTTATTGGACACTACACCATATAAAGCAGATCAATTTTTTATAAATACATAGTAGGTTAGTTAGTATTTTGATTGTACTTTTACTTTTCCTTGTTGTTTGCAAAACCCAAACGTTATTTTCCACGTACTAACGTGGCTATTTTTATTCTGAGGACATTTTTATGATCCGCCATCAAGTCAAGTAAAAGTGTTATTTCTTCAGGTTTAAAATTTGCCCTCCGAATACGCTTTTCGGCCTGATTTGTGGTTTTTATTTTTTCGTGATCGTTAATTGCCACTAACAGATCTGACAGGTTTATGAGAATTACCCACGAATAAAGGAGATAGAAACCTGTAATACCTCTTTTACACGTAGTCACCAACAGTCATTATAATATTCCCCTAGATTTTTACGTTAACTACTAGATAGCCTATCCCTTAGTTAGATCGAAATAGGAAAAGTCGTTTCGCAGTTAACTAATAGATAAACGTTATCCGATAGTTAGACTAACGACCAGTTTAACTAGAGGTGGTAAAAGAGGGTACCTTTAAATTTTATGTTCATCATTTTCATGGTTTTACTCATCTGGAATTCTCCAGTTGCCTCATCAATTTTTGGTCGGATCTTTATAGATATTTTTTTAAAATTCCACGCTATTTTTAAACGGCGCCATTTGCCTTTCATCTTCATTTTGATTATCCATCAGATATCTAAATGTTTTATTTTTCTATGAATTTCACTCCACATGTCGCTTCTGTGACTTTGTCGCCGATGATGGAGTAATTCAAAACTAGTACGACTACACATTCAATAAAAGCAAGTTAGAAGTTTTTATATGGTTTATTTTTTGATTATTAATTTTGCAACATGGATAATTCATTTAATCTGAAAGAAGATTCCGGCACAGGTATTCGTTCAATCATTGACACGTTGCATGAAAACGGTGAAATTTTTCGAACCTGGGAATTCCCCATTGATTAATGAGATTTTTTGCTGTCTAATATATTACTCCATAAATTGAATTCTTCCACTAAAACGACTTTCGAAGCTGAACATGCTGAATTTGAAATTCCAGCAAGTGATTGTGTTTATGGAAAAGAATGCAAAGGTTTTAGAATCTGTACTGTTAACGTCGTCTAATGATAAAATTTCAAATAAAAATAACATTTAAAAATTGAACAAAATTCATCTGCTGCCAATATTTATGTAAAATATTATATTTATACAGGCTGGTCCGTTACCAATGGGACACAGAGCAACAGTGAATTCTTTACATTAAATTATTACGATTTAACCCAATTTATGTTAGTCCAATGGGGTCATACACACTTATTAAATTTGGAGAAAATTTTTACGTCAAACCATATATGCAAGTATATGCACGAACACAAAGTAAAAGAAATATTTTAATCAATTTTATATTTTGCGTAATTTGAAGTGAAAAATAGCAAATATTCAAACGAAATAATTTCGCGGCTTTTCTGTGACGTAGGAACCGCCCTGCCTAAAACAAGTTAAATTGTCCGTTCGATAGCGCTTGCGGTGTGACAGTGTCAAAACAAAACCATGGATGTAATAGAGTGTCTCTATTACATCCATGAAAAAAAACATAATACACATAACCTACAAACACTCTATCTCTTTTCAATACAACCTAAATGACGTTCATCTCTTTCTCGCATTTGAGCGGGGAGC